ATATCAGACGACGGCTTTGTGGAGGAGCTAAAACAACGCCAAAATCGTAAGCGAACTCGTCCCTTTATGACTGTGGCCGCAGATGAAACTAAACTATCTGCTGTCAGCCAGAACAACATCGTCCGGTATGGAGACTGGAAAACATATGTTACTCAAAGGCGAGACAAAAATGTTCCTTCAAGGAGAGATACAAGAGCTACTTTCGAGCAGAAAGTAGCGAGATTCATAGACACTTATATCCCTTCTAATGTCCTTTCTGATATAATACAGAGCGGATCATCGTCACTTTCTGTCTGTTGTGTTTGATTTGCTCCCAAGTTTCCTATTATATTTATCTAAACTCTCTTATTTCAGATGTTGTTTGACCTTATTTTCCCAACTTGGTTATATTGGCAGGAAGAATTAGAGGAACGCGCCTTGTTCGGAGTCCACAGAATGCATGATCATTTCCAAAGTGGCATCGTGGACTTGGCACATTCACAGACATCTCGCCGGCATCGTCAGTGAGTCTTGCCGTTCTCAGACCAAACTTTCAGCTACTACTCGTCAAGGAGACAAGTCAGGTCAATCCCTCGATCAACGTTCTGCCAAAAACGGTTATACCATCAATCCTCCTGTCCTGGTCTATCTATACACTCTTTACCCTCTTAGCATGTTTGGTGTCGAGAATGACAGAACTCACTGAGGATGCCGACTACGATGCCAGCGAAATGTCTGAGAAGGTACCAAGTCCACTATCTGATGCTGGAAATTATGCTGACTACGTCGGACAAGGTACATTCTATTCAGTCGCCCTGACAACAAGACCAAGTTGTACAAATGAGGTCAACCCATTCTCCAAAGTTTTCGTTGTTTATTCGAGAACGACTTCGCTTCATATCCAAAGCCTCCTCACCCTCTTCTTCTTTGTGATCGCCTTTACTCGGTTTACGGTAGACCCTTGATCAGGACGTCTTCTTTCTGCTTTATTTTTAACATTTAAATATTGTTTCGAGACTACCAGTAAATCAGTAGTATGAGATGTATTCACCCAATTTCGTTTAAGCTGATAAAGGACTGGTAGAAGAATTTTCTCACAATGCTATGAGCAGAGCTGACTTTCCATTCAATTTCACGTTAGCCTTGCTTTCCCAAAAGTTGTTCTCAACTCATATGATTGTGGGAAAATTCTTCTTCTACCAGTCCTTCATCACCTTAAACAAAATTGGGTGAATAAATCTCATTTTACTGAATCACTGTTAGTCTCGAAACAATATTTAAATGCAAAAATTAAAGTAACTTAGTCTATTGTAATAGCAAATATACGTTTGCTTCATCGAAAATCCCACCAAATAATGTGATATGACAAAAAGGCCTGGCCTTCCTTGAAATTCACATCTGCTCTGTGATAAAAGAGCACTCGTGGCAATGTGAACGAGTGGTTAACGTGTCAAGTTCGCATGCCTCATTGTCACAGTTCGACTCCCGCTGGGTGTGTTGATAAGACCGATGCGAGGTAGAAACTGCAGTCCACTTAAGTCGGGATGAGAACAACTTTTGGGAAAGCAAGGCAATGTGAAATTCAGTGGAAACGTCATATGATTGTGAGAAAATTCTTCTACCAGTCCTTCATGAGCTTAAACGAAATTGGGTGAATACTTATCATACTACTGATTTACTGGTAGTCTCGAAACAATACTTAATGCGAAAAATAAAATGAGAACTTAGTCTGTCGATTTCATTTCATTTATTAACTTGGGCAGACTATGGGCGTTTGGGTGTCTAGTCGTCCCAACAATAATCTTAAAACCACTAAATGCCCAGATCTGAGATTATGATTGGGTAGACCCTAATTTTCTCACTAAACCAAAGCCCATATGAGATGTATTCACCCGATTTCGTTTAAGCCGATGAAGGACTGGTAGAAGAAGAATTTTCCCACAATCCTATGAGTAGAACTGACGTTTCCATTCAATTTCATAGAGCCTTGCTTTGCCAAAAGTTGCTCCTATCCCACAACGTATATTTGCTATACCAACCGACTACGTTACTTTATTTTTCGTATTTGAGTACTGTTTCGAGACTACCAGTAAATCAGTAGTATGAGATGTGTTCGTTTAAATGCGAGAAATAAAGTAACGTAGTCTATTGTCATAGCAAATATACGTTTAGGGATAAGAACAACTTTTGGGAAAGCAAGGCTCCGTGAAATTGAATAGAAATGTCAGCTCTACTCATATCATTGTGGGAAAATTCCTTTACCAATTCTTCATCAGCTTAAACGAAATTGTGTGAATACATCTCATATTACTGAATTACTGGAAGTCTCAAAACAATACTTAAATGCTAAAAATAAAGCAGAAAGGAGACGTCCA